CGTAAAATTTTATAGTATGATTAGTTACCTTTAGCTATATGTTCTTGGACACACAGCGTAAAATAAAAGCAAAAACAAGCCTGAATAAATGCAGAATAAAATACCAACAAAGCTGACACTTGAGCTAATAGAGAATTGTGACAAACTTCGTCAAAGTGTTTAGATCTTTGGAGTGTGCTATGTGATGACCGTATTCACTTCTTTGTTAGATGATAGTCGAGCGAAAAGTCGAGCAAAATATCGGTGGTAGGAAGGTATATACCTTTATGACATGGTATGTGATTGCAAGCAACTTCGAAATAGTCGTCCACTCCAGAAGTTTTGAGACTGCCCTCGTAAAAGCCCTATTAACTGTGCTAGATTATTGTCGTTTTCATATGTCCTCACCACAGTTGTCATAAGCGTACTTGCGTAATTTTGTTTTTTCTACGTTGCAAGAGACGGCTAGGGCATCACCCTGAACACGGCAAGTCGCACGCGTCTTGTCACAACGGCTTGGCCCTGCATATTACTTGTTTGTTGATTGTCAAAAAGGCCTTGCCTTCTTTATGATGAATTAATAGTATACATGTTGGACATAAATTAACATGAAAAATAATTAAGTTTCAAAATATGCTAAATTTCAAAGAGTTAACATTAATTAGAGAAAGTTTAAACTTTAAATTAACGGGTATTTCTATGCATTTCTACAACCTGAAAATAAATGTGCAGGGATCCACATTCACAACCAACGTACATACATTCAGCACCATGAGACCATTCGCGGCCATCGCTATGACTCACGATCATCTCATCTTATATCTCAAACGTAACGTCTGGATAATGTTATAATCCTTCGGCTTCGACCAAACCCTATTTCCGCCGGTCCTATTTTTTGTTCACCTCCGGGAACCTTTGCCCCGACTCCTGGGGGCCCATGGAGGATCGGTTACGTCGATGGGGATAAAAACTCGGCCACAGCAGGCCTTCTCCGCCTCTGGGGACAGCGGGGAGTCGGCTGCTGCCTGCTGTACCTCAGGAGACAACGGGGAGCCTCCGTTACCACCCAGAAGAAAGGCGACCTCGCCAGGGTGATGTGAAAAAACTATGTGTTCAGCAGGGCGCCATCCTCCAATATTAGCTAACCGCGCACTGGGGAGAGAAAAGGGATAATAATGGTTGATAGCGCTAAAGGCGGTAACAGCGTTTGCATATCAACTGAATCTCAGTGCATAGTGGCTTTAGGATGGTAAAAAGCATGACGGTTTCTATATAGATGCATTTTTTCTTGTTTTCTACTGTCATCGTTCTAGCATTATCTTTTTTGCGTATTTGGGCAATTAAGTATCTCTTTATGATAACTGATTCTGGTTTTGGTCAGCATTCATCCTTACTCTGTATTTATAGCAAAGAATGCATTGCAGTTATATATAAAAAAACAGTGTTCACCATAAACTAATTCAACAACTACAATGCTTGCTTTATTGTGTCTGCTTTCTATCAATGAAGTCCGTTTATGGGCCATTCAGAGTCCAACAGTACCTAATTGATGAGACACTCTCCTTCTTTAACCGCCTTTATTACCTAATGCACTGAGTGTGTGTTTATTCGTCAGTGACGTGTGGGGCAATCGGCAGTAAATGGCGCGCAGTCACACCCGTAGGGCTGTATGTGTCCGTGTGACAGGGGACGTGTTTAGAGAGTGCCACCCGTGCCTTGCATGCAGTGCTCGCTGCGGACCCGATGGCCATTGGTCGAGAGCATTGTCACACACCGACACGCCGTATGTATATACCTGCCTTCGGTTTTAACTATTACCCAAGTATTTCGATACCTACTGCATTATTTGCTACGGAGCTCGCAACTTGCAAACAGCTTTATATGATCTGAAGCTGTAGATACCCACATCTTTAAATAGGGTGAGCTTATGAAAGGAGACACTTATGAGTACCCCTCCCCATACACACGCACTCACCGCACACAGACACACATAATACATTAGGTAGTTCCATCGCGTCCCGTGTTAGTATATGATTAGTCAGTAATTCGATATATATGTATGTATTTAGGCGGGCCATTGCAAGCTATCCGTCCACACCGCATCGCATGCAGGTAGCCGGCAAGTACAGCATGGCATTTAGTGATAAGCAGTGTCGAAAAGCAGGTCGAGGCCTAGCATTGCCCTCAATCAGCTCAACTGTATGAACCTACCCGTACTTGAAAGCACCATCCCACTATGATGGGGAGATTATTCCTTATCCTTTCTAGCACACCTGGCTACATGGAAGTCCACCTCTGCTAGTGGCTGCTCTTCTCCGCGGATCACCGTATCGTATATGTTACAGTGCGTCCGCGAAATCCGTGAGTTTGCGAAGTTACTAGTTAATTCGCGAAATCCCTAGGGACTCCGCGAACTCACATAAACTCTCGTGAATCCGCGGAATCACTGCCGTGGCTCCGCGGATTCACTAGAGTTTCCAGTGCGTCCGTGAAGTCGCTGAAGAGTCGCGGGGATCTGCGAACTTCCTAGGTAATCCGCGGAATAGCGATTCTTTTTCAGTGAATCCGCGGAATAGCGACTCCTTTTTTCAGAGAATGTCCAAAAAAACGTTATTTAGTTCTTATGCCGATTATTCGTAGAGGCTCAAAGACAATTGGAATCATGTTGCCGATATGGTGGTACTGTTGTGCGTTGGCCGCCGCTTTGCCAAATTCAGCGGCGCTGCGCGCCGCCGATCTTACGCTATCTTTGAAAAACCTTAGGGGGGTCGCATCGACCACCCCCCCCCCCTGCCAGGGCGAGGGTTAAACTTTACTAATAACGCTAAGAACGTCACCAAACATACAGAGGCCGTCAAAAAGTAGGCCATTTGGAGGCCCCCTCGATAGAGAAAAGGCCCCCTGGCAAGCGGAATACGGAGGAGGGTGCCCCTTTGAGCCCGGGCACCCTCCCCTGGAAAATCCTGGGTGCGTCCCTGTTGGCCCGCATGACAATATCAGTCTATCGGAATAAAAACTTCGGGACATTATATAATTCCATTGGAGGCAAAAGTCAATTTTCTCTGGAATATAAACCTTTTTTGCTTTTTTTAAACCTACATCTCAAGCGCTTCCACTGCGCGTTCGTCTGACAAATAACGACTTGAGCACATGTCATTGCAGAGTTCGTGAATTTATGAAATAGATATTGTTGCCAAACTGTCAGTTTATTGCGATGTGGTTGCCAGTACCAGGGGTTTCCTGTTTTGTTAGGGAGCAAAATGTTCTTGTCTGACCAGCAAATAAAAGAAAAAATGTAACAACCCAAAGCGGCACTCACATAGGCCAAAGAGGAAAAACTCTGATCTAATTGGGTGGTCCATCGATTCAATAACGGCACTTTATATGTTGCGTCCCACATTGCTGGAATCCTGGCTTACTGCTCACCTGCCATTGCGAATACGTGTCTACCTCTCGAGCAGATCGCACTGATATTCGCTCATTTCATTGAAGTCCAAACTCATCACTGCATTGAAAACTGGTACGGCACACAATGAAAAGTTTCAGAGATATCTGAAAGAACTGGATCAGGCGACCCGGCCGCCCCAAATGGTATGTGGTTCGTTCTTACATACATACATAAATGTAATAGTCCGAGCAATCAATCTTTTGCCGATAGCTTCGTTGACGGGTGACCTTTCAAGGCAGCTCAGTCAATGTGAACGACATTTACCAACTACTATTCGATTCAGCTCAGTCGATAGTTGTTTTCCTTGCGGCTGTTATTTATTTGCAGTAGCTTTTCGCTGCACACCCCTAATAATTATAATTATGATAAATATACTCAAGAAAAACACCGAGGAAAGAGTCACAGTAAACAAATTACATTCTATGTAAAATTAATACATCGTTAGTGGATGACTTAGCAAACGCTACTTTCCATAACTGTATCTTCCGGCTGTTTTGTTTCTGAATCTGAATACTGCACTAGTGGAAGTTGTGCAAAGTGCATGTAGTTGTGAGTTTCTGAGCTAACTGTTTCTCTCATCCGGTGCGATAAGTTTATACAGCCTCCCCACTTGGAAACAGGCATAGTGATCCCAAATGTCTTAGCTTTCTTACATAATGATATCGACACCTGAGCTTTCTGACATCATAATACCGACACTTGAGCTCCCTGACATCAGCATTAGGTATACCAGCCGAGAAGGTATCGATCGGTAATTGCACAGTCATTATAGCAATTATACGGCAGATAACGGTCCAGCCTACGAAATGCGTTAAAGTTTTGTTCGCCTGTTTCTTTTTCATCTGCTCCGTTATTCAGTTTCGTTCAGTTATTACCCAAAGGATTTCGCTGAAACTTTAAAAAAGATATTACCTTCTAAGAAGACTGAAGATGCATTCTAATTGACACCTTTGAAGACGTCACTGAGTTACACCATATATGGAAAGCCTCAGAAACAGTGAATCGGAGCGAGCGACCGACGTTAAGCGCTATTGAGTGACAGTTCCTCTCCCAGGCTTCATGGGATTCGCATTGTTTCGTACGGGCTAATTCAGGACATATAACGATGCTCTGTATGTATACTTGAGGAAGATATCGGGAGGAACCTAGTTTCAGTTGGCCCTTCGTTCGGTCCGTCTGTCGGTTGGTCAGCGGTTGCTCGTTTGCTCGGTCAGTCGGTCATTAGTCTGTCGTTGGGTTGGTCGCTCGTTCGGTCGTTTCGTCAGTTCGACCGTTTGTTCTTTCGCTCGTTCGTTTGATCGTTCGTTGTCGACTGGCAGGTCGTGTCCGTCGGTCAACCGGTCGGTCGGTCAGTGGTCAATCGTTATTTCGTTGCTCGGTAGTTCGGATGATCAGGGACTGCTCGTTTGTGTCGGTGGGTCAGAAGTCAGTCATCCGTCTGTTCAGTCAGTCGGTCAGCTGTTCGATCGTCCGATCGTTCGGTGGTCGTCGGTCGGTCGGTGCTCGGCTGGCACATGACCGCCGAAACCGGCCCGGCCCGGCCCGGCTGACGTCAGTGCAGCCCGGGGTCCGAGCCGGTCCGGCCCGCCGCCAGCCAGCTCATCCAGCTCGAGCTTCCCGTGCCGCGTGCCGGAGAGAGATCGCCCGGTGTGGCCGGCTCGAGCCACTGCCGCCCGAGACGTCGGCGGAACAGCACGCGCCGGCAGCGGCCTCCGTGGGATACCTGGAGACGAGCGACGCCTCACGGCGCAGGTAGGCCCGTCCTCGGGACGACTCGTGGCGCTTAGTAACGTCTCATAGCCGTGCTATTGTTTCGGGTTGAAGCATTGTCTACCTGTAACCGTCTGGGTTCATGACTGTGTTCTGTCGCCTACATTAGTTCTCCAATATCACTCGTGTAAACCCAGTACGGCCCAGCAGACAAGAAGGTGAGAGCGTTTATTAGCCCCGCCAACGGTGACCAGCGAATAGCCAGGCCCTATATCGCGCGAGGACTCCAAAAGTTATAACATGGCAATTTGCCGGCACTAAACGAAAACCGGTTTGGGGTTGTAGCGCCGCCTCAGGCCATAGCTGGGATAAGCGCAGAACTCTGAGCGGCTGTCAGAGCATTCCATCCCGCTCCGGGCCGCAGCTCCGCGGTCAGACGGCGCGGCTGCACAAAGTGCACAAATCGGGTGGAATAGAAGGCTGATTGGTGGCAAGCATCTTCACACTGAAGGGCTGTGAGAGGGCACAGGAGTGGATGGCCTCAGTGGGACTGAAGGTCAAGCCATTTCGGCGGGGCGGTGGACACGCATGTCTGCATGATAGGAATTTGTTGGATGAGTGGAAACTGAGGACAACGGTTGCAACAAACCTAACTTCCAAAGACTGGTGAAATCATCAAACTGTGATTGTGAAAACTTCACAGATAATCCTCGGCAGAACAGGAATGAATTTAAAAACTATGCGTTACAAGCACGTATAACAAACTGACAGCCCAAAATGGAGTGACTAAACTGGACAGTGCGTTCCAACGGTGGGCGGTGATGGGCCGTGCACGCGGCATTTTTGCGCTGCTGCCAGCATTCCTGACAGTTATACATGCGCTGCACAGCACGCTACTGCGTCACGACACACCCATCAGTTCTGTGTGTCATTGGTGACCTGTCCGCCCAGCCCAGTACACCACCGTGCCGCATCTCTCCACACCACCCCGTGACCACGCATACCCTCCCCTCCCCTCCCCCCCCCCAGCTAGCCGGCGCGCTTCACTCATGTCCTGCCAGGCGGTAGGTAGGTAGCTGGGGATAATCGGACGTGTTTGACGGTGTTTACGGCGGCGACTGGCTGACAGAAGACAGCTCGGCGGATGTTGTGCGTCCAGGGAGACGGCCGCGTGTAAACAGTCGTCATCGCAGCGTCCCGATGCGCCGAGACCCTGACACACTGCGCGCCCCATGGTGGCGGCTGGGGGTGGGGGGAGACATGGACCCCCTGGTCCGGGCGGTGAGGCCACGTAGTGCAGCGGAGCGCACGGTGCACTGTGTCCCACATAGATGAGGGTTCAGTTGTAGCCTGAGCGCGCAAATCGCTTGTCACTGCTATCAGTCAGTGAATAAATTATGCCGTCTCTTCGGAATTCCCTGATTGGTCGATGCAGGTCCGATGCGCATGGCGCAGCAGAATTAATTTGCTGCCGGGACCTGTCATGGCCCAGACTTTAATACCTCTTTGACATTGGTACTTTTCAGCTCAATTACCTCTATCTTATCGACACATGTCTACATTTTCTTTAATAGGCACCCAAGTATCCAGTGAGGGGATTTATCTGAACGGCTGATAGTCTTCGCTTTCGACTAAGGTCTCCGACGCAGTATAGGTGACAGCGTGACCTGAGGGCGATGGGATTTTCCACGTCATCCCCCTAACCTGTCCGAGGTCGACTGCAGTGGAGAACACCGTAGCTGCGTGCAGGCAGTAGCGGGTGTACTGTGACTGTCTGATGGCCGTCATGGCCTTCATGGAAACCGTGTAATGGACAAACGAGGGATGGGCGTTTATTTTCCGGTTACAGTGCCACCAGCGCTATGTCCATTATATCACTTATATCCCTTTATAAATCTCTTTGAAATGTAATGTTTATCTTTTTGAGCTGGTTCACCATAATTTTATCTTTTTGCACTGCCTTCGATATGTTGAATATTGGATCGACGGTTATTCACCCGCTCACATTTACGTGCGAGCGAAACACACTGTTTCTTCGATTTCGGCCCCACGGTCATCAAAGTCGGTCTTTTGCGAGCGCGAGCGCGACGGATAAATATTAGTGACAACAGGCACTCATCCATTGTATTTTTTCCTGTCAAACAAGGCTTGTATTTAATTCCATGAATTTCTGCTATGAAGTTTCGTAATCGCCTGAATCCACCATTGACGCTCTAGAAACCGGGTGGATTCACATGCACTCGAGTGTGTAGTTGAGTGGACTCGACGCCCGCTGAATTGCCTCGGCGTGCCTCAGACACGGTAGATCCTCCGGTGAGCTGAATGTCAGCGGTCAGCACCACACGGTCAGCGGTTAGAAGTTCTGATCCTGTAAACACCAGCTAGCCTCGCCTCTCCGGACGGGACCTGCGGCCGGCGCTGTCCTCAATCCTTCGGTCAAGGCCACTACACGACCGACTACAGATTAGAAGCGCAGTTTTTGTGGTAGTCCGCACCTGAGGAGCTCTCACACTAACTCTCCAGTCGGTGAAGGCAGGCGGAAAATATTAAACAGCCCCACACTGTAAAAAAAGTTTAGCATTTGGGGTACTAACGGCTGCTATTCGTAGCACCTTTTAGCTTCAAAAGAACCCTACGACGTATTTACAAAGAAGCATGGTGCTAATACTGTGCTAATGATAGCTAACATTCCCATCAAATATTATAAGTTTAGATCACCTATTCTTCTACTGAGCTTAACGTCTACTTCTGCTAGTACCCAGTCCATCAGTGAGTGCTCTTTCAAGCTGGATTTCTAATTAGAACCATTTTAAGTGTTTTAGAAGTTGGTAATGCTGAATATGGTGCTTACGTTAGTATCACAATAGAACCGGACATGCTTACAGAGGAAACAAATTTGAAATTGGCGCCAAAGAAAGTAGCTAAGCCCTGCTTTACAAATCTCTGGGAGTCTTATCACCAGCCCTTTAGCACGTTTTGACGGCGCAGAGCGATATGCGCATGCGCGTGCCAGCTGTTTCCGGCCACGTGTTGCGCCATTTTAGTGGAGTCCGTTGGTCGTGGTGGGAGTGTGTGCACGTGCTCCGGTATATGAAGTGAAATGAAGTGAAGTGAAGTGCTCCGGGCACATGCCACCGAGTGATAGCTCTGGAATGATAGCTTAAATCAGCTATTATCGGTGGAATCCGTCGTGCGTGGCATGGGAGTGCGTGCCCCTGCTCCGGGAGGCAGTGAGGTGGAGGGAAGTGCAGTGCAGCAGTGCAGTGAAGTGAAGTGAAGTGCTCCGGGGCCGGGTGGTACATGAGCATTTGCCACCGACACATGCCACCGACACCGACGTTGATCGACTTTGGTGAGTCTGACACGTTGTATCTTTTGACATTATCTTATATTGTTTAAGTGCTTCATATTCCGACTTTGGCAAATCGCGCTTCTTGGTCTGAAGGAAAGTTGTGTTGTTTGCAAAAATAGCTCCCAACAGAAAAAAAAATCTTGGAACTGATCCAGTTTTTTTTTTGCTCCAGGCATGGGGCCTGGTCAGTTCTTCCGTCGACTACCACTTACAATGGAGGACAACTACGACAACAACACGGTTCCGTCTATCACTAAACGCCGTCTGGTCGTGGATGAGGTCGAACTTATGGCCATGAACGGAACGTCGGTTCAACGACCCCCCCCCCCCGCCTCCCCCAGTCGATCTCGCGTTAATCGTCGGTCACTGCTAGTGTGCAGGTATATGAGCGACCTTTCGTTATTTCCCGTGCGTTTGTTTGTGTATATATTTACATTTGTTTTTCATGCAGATGATATGAAGTGTTAATAAATGTTCCATTATTATTTTCTAATTTTATAATGTGTTGGATGCTTGAAAGATGCACTTACACGGGAATATTGCAGAATGCAAAACACAATCATTGAGACTTGTAGTTATCACTTATCTAGGAAATAACCTTTTTTGCACGTCTTTTCGGCCTTACACAATTTCCTTTTTGGTAATTGATTAGTCCTTTTTGCAGTAACTAGTGAAAGTATGTGCTGCTAAAGAAAGCAGTTTTTGCGAACTTTTCATGCAGCAGCTTTAACTAGTATAGATATTCTACTTTCAGCCCCAATGCTTTCGTTAGCATTATTCTACTTGTCGTGGGGTAACAATAGCGCTAAAACGATTCATATGTGAGTACGGAAGGTACTAACTGCATGCTATTCTTAGCACCTTTTAAAGTTAAGCACCGCTAGGGTACTGAAAATTGGTCTAGCAGGTGTAGGGTACTACATTTAGTACAGGGGTGCTAAACAAATATGGGTACTTATATTAGCACTTTGATACTAAACTAGATCTCAGTTAAGTACGAATAAAATGCTTAGCTTAGCACCGCTAGGGTACTGAAAATTAGTCAATTGAAAAGTACCTTTATGGTGCTAAACTTTTTTTTACAGTGCAGTTGACCCACACAGTCACTGAAACGGAAAATGTCCGACCCCGTGGGCATGTTTAAACATATAAGGGCAGTTCACGAAAGCTACAGGTGCTCCAAGGATGAAACTTTTAAACGTTTTGTTTGATTCCAATTTCGATAGGAATATGACTTCGTTAGTACCTACCTTGGTAAAATATTTAGATCCGACCACAATTAATTGATTTAGCTGAATAGACACCAGCGAGTTATACGTACTCTCTTGTACACTTGCAAGATGGTAATGGAGAGGCACAGTGTTGACGCTTCAGAATAAGTCTTTTGCCAGCCGTCTACTCCGAGACTCTCAATATTAAATGTTGTGCTGGCCCAGCAACTCAGAATGAACTCTTTGAATATTTAAAGGAACTGCAATGCGTGCAGTTGTACAGTCGTGTACAGGTTGATGGTCCCCTACTCTTTATCCACCGGGTTCCTACACTGTAAAAAAAGTTTAGCACCATAGAGGTACTTTTCAATTGACTAATTTTCAGTACCCTAGCGGTGCTAAGCTAAGCATTTTATTCGTACTTAACTGAGATCTAGTTTAGTATCAAGGTGCTAATATAAGTACCCATATTTGTTTAGCACCCGTGTACTAAATGTAGTACCCTACACCTGCTAGACCAATTTTCAGTACCCTAGCGGTGCTAAACTTTAAAAGGTGCTAAGAATAGCATGCAGTTAGTACCTTCCGTACTCACATATGAACCGTTTTAGCGCTATTGTTACCCCACGACAAGTAGAATAATGCTAACGAAAGCATTGGGGCTGAAAGTAGAATATCTATACTAGTTAAAGCTGCTGCATGAAAAGTTCACAAAAACTGCTTTCTTTAGCAGCACATACTTTCACTAGTTACTGCAAAAAGGACTAATCAATTACCAAAAAGGAAATTGTGTAAGGCCGAAAAGACGTGCAAAAAGGTTATATCCTAGATAAGTGATAACTACAAGTCTCAATGATTGTGTTTTGCATTCTGCAATATTCCCGTGTAAGTGCATCTTTCAAGCATCCAACACATTATAAAATTAAAAAATAATAATGGAACATTTATTAGCACTTCATATCATCTGCATGAAAAACAAATGTAAATATATACACAAACAAACGCACAGGAAATAACGAAAGGTCGCTCATATACCTACACACTCGCATGACCGACGATTAACGCGAGATCGACTGGGGGAGGCGGGGGGGGGGGGGGGTCGTTGAACCGACGTTCCGTTCATGGCCATAAGTTCGACCTCATCCACGACCAGACGGCGTTTAGTGATAGACGGAACCGGAGACCCCGTGTTGTTGTCGTAGTTGTCCTCCATTGTAAGTGGTAGTCGACGGAAGAACTGACCAGGCCCCATGCCTGGAGCAAAAAAAAAAACTGGATCAGTTCCAAGATTTTTTTTCTGTTGGGAGCTATTTTCGCAAACAACACAACTTTCCTTCAGGCCAAGAAGCGCGATTTGCCAAAGTCGGAATATGAAGCACTTAAACAATATAAGATAATATCAAAAGATACAACGTGTCAGACTCACCAAAGTCGATCAACGTCGGTGTCGGTGGCATGTGTCGGTGGCAAATGCTCATGTACCACCCGGCCCCGGAGCACTTCACTTCACTTCACTGCACTGCTGCACTGCACTTCTCTCCACCTCACTGCCTCCCGGAGCAGGGGCACGCACTCCCATGCCACGCACGACGGATTCCACCGATAATAGCTGATTTAAGCTATCATTCCAGAGCTATCACTCGGTGGCATGTGCCCGGAGCACTTCACTTCACTTCATTTCACTTCATATACCGGAGCACGTTCGCACACTCCCACCACGACCAACGGACTCCACTAAAATGGCGCAACACGTGGCCGGAAACAGCTGGCACGCGCATGCGCATATCGCTCTGCGCCGTCAAAACGTGCTAAAGGGCTGGTGATAAGACTCCCAGGGATTTGTAAAGAAGGGCTTAGCTACTTTCTTTGGCGCCAATTTCAAATTTGTTTCCTCTGTAAGCATGTCCGGTTCTATTGTGATACTAACGTAAGCACCATATTCAGCATTACCAACTTCTAAAACACTTAAAATGGTTCTAATTAGAAATCCAGCTTGAAAGAGCACTCACTGATGGACTGGGTACTAGCAGAAGTAGACGTTAAGCTCAGTAGAAGAATAGGTGATCTAAACTTATCATATTTGATGGGAATGTTAGCTATCATTAGCACAGTATTAGCACCATGCTTCTTTGTAAATACGTCGTAGGGTTCTTTTGACGCTAAAAGGTGCTACGAATAGCAGCCGTTAGTACCCCAAATGCTAAACTTTTTTTACAGTGTATGGCTCAGCATTGGCAGCAGCCGCCTGGTACCGGTAGGCTGTGCCGCATGACCCGAGAGTGACGCGGCACAGCCTATCCACACTGTATGACACCGGCTCGGGTCGCCTGGTAGAGCGATTTGACCGGACGCTGCGTTACACCGGCTGGGGGGAGGGGGGGGGGTAAAGGTCAGGCCTGTCTATTTAGCTCGGCTCGGTGGATGAGGCGGGCTGGAGTGTGGTGTGGGGCGGGGGTGATGTGGGGAGGGAGTGAGCGGACCTGGGGCTGGGTGTGTGTGGTCACTTGTCGCATAGAACCGATCGTAATCCACCCTCCGAAAATTCGCTTTAGAGATATTCACAAAACCCAGGGGGGTTCAAACACCCATCTCCCAAGTGGGGTGCGGAAGGACAGGTAAGGGTCCACTCCATACGGTCTCCTCATGAATTGCAGCAAAGAAAGAAAACAGACCTGTCACCAAATAATCTTTCTGAAAAGTGGACTAATCGCATAGCCTCGGACACATAAATAAACATCCAGCACGCGAAGCGTCTCGAACCGGGCCTCTCACTACCGGTCAGTTTGACAGTCTAGCACTCCTTCGCTGAGCTACACCGGATGGTGGCCACGGCCGGGGCAAAGTCTGGCCGGGCGGGCGGCGGGGCCGGGAGGTCGGCAGCAAAGTCAATGAATGTTTTTGTGGTTTCGGGTGCCGGTCGCTCTAGCTTGGTGGAATGATGATGGATCATTGGCAAAACTTTCAACGTGGAGTCCCGGTTCGAGCCTCATCGGGGCTCCGGCTACTTTTCCGAGTTAGGATCTGGTTTGATTTTGGTGGTTGCGAGCCATTTATACGGTTTTATATCTACATGTCGATTGTCGATTGATTGATTGATTCATTCATTCGTTCATTCATTACATGTCGAAATTTAGCATACGGATTGACATCCAGGATCAATCCGATCAATCTACCATTTTCATAAGCGTATTGCCGAAATATCATGCCTATGGTTGCCTCGAAATACCTATGGTTGCCTCGATAACGTGCCAAATCACGTTTTGCACAATGCACAAGTAAATTATATTCGCTGGGTCTTCCGTGCATTGTGCTTAGCAAAAACAGGAATGCAATTATTAAGCGACGCAAAATGTGCAATGCAGCAAGTGACCACACAACCCGCCCAGCCCCCATGGTCCACCAACACGCCCCACACCACTCCCCAGCCCACGCCAACCACCGAGACGAGCCCCTCCCCCGCGCTGGTCTGACGTGACAGCTGGTCTACAAAGCGCTCCACCCGGCGACCCGAGCCGATGTCAAACGGCGTGGGTAGACTGTGCCGCTTCACTCTCCGGTCATGCGGCACAGCCTACCGGTACCAGGCGGCTGCTGCCAATGCTGAGCCATAGGAACCCGGTGGATAAAGAGTAGGGGACCATCAACCTGTACACGACGTACGTGAAACAGGGATTATCCCGAACGGTAGACAGTGCTTACGATTGCTTTACGTGCAAAGAGAGAAAATTATCAGATGTCGATTAACTGATTTGTTAAACGTCTAGACGATTAACAAATTGTTAAACATCTAGTAGACATTTCGTCTAGCCTGAAATATGTTGTTTTTTATATGAAATGTATATTTCTACCTTTAAACACCCGAAAGATGTCGGCGATACGGGATAAAATTATTAAACCGCTCGTTAGTAGAAAAATCTTTTAAACGTCTCGCCTATCGGCTTGACGTTTAAAAGATTCGTTCTACCTACTCGCGGTTTAATATATATTACCAACCAAACAGTCATCCAATATGATGCATTACATTCAACCAGCATTTAGAAAAATCAAACTGAAACAGCGAACGGCTCGTCACTCCGTGCACTTTTCCTTTCACCGAGCATGCCGCTGCACTGGTGAAAACACATAGTTGCATGCAGCGACTACAGCCGGCCGCCGTCTGCCGTCCACACTGGCACACTCGCCGCTGCCTCTAGCAGTCCGAGAAGTGCAATGTCACCGCCCCTGAGCGGCTCACGCTGGCGCAGACTCGACGGTCAGCCCCAGGCAGCGTTAACTCTCTGCGCATCCCACTTTCGCCACGAGGAGGCCAGTTTCTCCGTTCGGCCCATGGCCGGCGGTGACGCGCGGTGGAAAAACGGCTCCTCTCCCGCGCCGTCCACCCGATCTCTACCCCGAACACGCGCCAACCGATGTGTGATTGGGTTCTTAAGTGGTTGGGGTAGGCGTGACGGGTGTCGTGTGCTGTGAGGTGTCAGTCATCAGGGAAATTTGTGTCACAGAAAATGGTTGACTAAAGACGAGATGAATGATTAAACATGTCGTTGTCACGCAAGCCAATACTCAGTCAAGGTTATTTGCTCTGCTGGATTTGAAATGATATCATATTTCTTGGAATTTGGTGTTAAAAGCAATTTCATGAGGTTTTGACTTTCCTGTCTTATCTGACACGCATTAAAATCAAGTGTTTTCTGATCCCGAATTAATAGGACGCTCAGCGCCAAGCGGTTATTTCGGTCAAGGACATCCGGTCTCTTCCACAACCGGTTCACGAATGTATCCGACACTAACACTGGTTTACTATTTCGACAGGTTTTACATAGTATGACATCTCGTGAAGAATTGGCCATGGACTTCAGCAGCCAAGAGCAGGACTCGATCACGTTCGGCAAGAAGTCGGGCTGTTTCATGAACCGCTGCTGTTCAGCGCTGCTGCTGGCGCTGTTCCTGTGCAGTCTGCTGGCCACCGGGCTGCTGGTGCACTACCTGACGCCCGGCTGCAGGTCCGGCAGCGACCTAGTCACAGACGCCGACCACGCCAGCTCAGCCGGCTTCCAACCGGCCGGCAAAAACAGCCTCGAGCCGCAGCCGGAGCCGGAGCCGGAACCAGAGCCGGAGCCGGAGCCGGAGCCGGAGCCGGAGCCGCCGGCCAAGGTGCGTGATGTGCGCCTGCCGCTTCACCTGGTGCCGGAGGGCTACCAGGTCCGCCTGCTGCCCTCGCTGGAGGAGGACGGCGACTTCACCTTCAGCGGCGAGGTGACGCTGACGCTGCTGGCCGCCTCCCCCGGCCGCAACGTCACTGTGCACGTCAAGGACCTGGTGGTGGAAAACGACACCATCAGCGTGCGCGACACGACGGCCGGTGCGGCGCTGCCCGTCAGCGGGGTCCGCTACGACGCCGACCGCGAGTTCCTGGTGATCCTGCTGCCGCGGGACGTGCAGCCGCAGCACCGCTACGACGTCACCATCCGCTTCACCGGTAACCTGAAGGACAAGCTGGCTGGCTTCTACCGCAGCAGCTACGAGGGGCCGCAGGGAGAAAAGAGGTGAGTACACTGAGCGGGAGGGACTGGGGAGGGCGACCAGTCGTACCGCGGGGTTTGGTGATCTGTTAGTACTGTACTCGACTGAAGGAAAGGATTTTGTGGAAGGGAGAGGATAGGGTGCAATTAACTGACCATGGGAATGTGAAAGCTCACAGATGCGTGATCGTTATTCGGAGGAGCAGGAGAATAACTATTATTCTTTTAACCCTCGCCGGCCGAGGGGGGGGCGGGTGCCGCCCCCCCCCCCATAGGGTTTTTTCGCGATAGCTCTGAACACGCTGGCGATAGAGAGCTGAAACTTGGCATACCTGACCTTTGATCCAAGCCGGATCTTTTGACACCAACCGCATTTTTGGGTCAGGTCAGGTCACTGACCTATGACGTCATAAGTGAACCTCTGCACGGTCTTCAGATGTCGCAACTTCGCAACGCCCTCACTGCCAGAGGAGATGTCACAGGGAAATGAAACTTGCAGGATCTAGTATCCATTATGAGTCCCACAACTTGTATATCTCGGATTTTTCCTAAAGGTCATATGAGGTCAGGTCATTTTCGTGACCTCACCATTATAAGTCAATGGGGAAAAATTCAAACTGCTATTCTGGAGCCGGGAACGATCTCCAACTATCTCAAGCACACAGAATCGTGATTTGATGCACTCCTTGCAAGGTTAGATGCGTCACTTTTGCAATGTTGACCTCTCGTGACGTCATTTATGACGTCATCAAGGTCATATTAGTTTTTCGTCAATAACTCTTGATCAAATTGAGCTAGCGAGTCGGGAAAGCCACCAATGGACTCAGGAAGACCTGCCGAATCGAATGATATGCGACATGACCTCTTTCGACCAACTTCGTGACCTGGGGGTGCTGACCTGACCTTGACCTGAGGTCAACACCCCAAGTTGACCTGACCCGGACAAAAAGTATATCATTCGACGCGCCTGAGCGAGACGAACACGATGCTGCCAAAATCGGCGCTCTGCGGCCGTTTTTTGCGAAGTTATTCACCAAAAACTGAACCGTACCTTGGGGCACTTGACCTGACCTCAGAGGTCACCGGTTGACCTAGGACCTTAAAATCGGGTACCAATCTCTGCGTCTCGTAACGGCGCACACGCTCGTTTTTTCCGCGACGCGCTAGCTCCACCAGGGGCGAAACGGCGAGGGGGGGGTCGTACCCGCCCCCCCCCCCCTCGGCCGGCGCGTATGTAGAAAACCAATAGGTCCGGCGAGGGTTAATGTAACGCGTTGCTGAGTTAGTTCATTTAAGCAGTTTTGTAACAGAATGTTAAATTTCTTCATACCTGCGCGAAAAGTAAAAAGTCACCTGGCCACATTATGCAGGGAGTGAAAACAGATGCCAAGACATGTCATTGAACTCAGTCAGCAGCAGCTGCACACGATTGTTTTAGCCGTACATAGTGACGCGGAAACCTGCCTGCATCTCGCAAAGAATCCTGGACTAGTAGCACGCCTACTGCAGGCCGTGTTCACATGTGTCTGATACAATCTATCAACGTCGCGTGCGGCATGCTACCGTAAACGGGTGCGAGGGGAGCAATTGATTTCGTTGTACCCCGCCTGGCCCGTTCATGCAGCAAATCTATCCTTTTAGCGTCTCATGTCATGAGCAGAAGGCCGTCGATTAAAGTCACGTAAAGGAAGTCCCTCGACATGCTTATCAAACGAAACGTTAGCGGCCAACTAATAAGTCACACGCCTAACATCGATAAATTATATGGACGAGAAGGTTTACACCTTATTTCCTGGTTCGTCGCTCCTCGTTTTACCTGTTGTGTAACAGGAGCTGTTCCGAGCCATCTGGTTACAAACCAGCGAGGACCATCCGCACTCGTGCCACTTTCGCCCGCGCCCGTTCCACCGGTTTCGGTTTCCCTTTCTCGAGGCTATTGTTTGGACGCCGGGGTCTTTCGGGAACCGGTCACCAGTTCCGGAATTCGGGAATTCACCGAGAGAATGCGAGTGGAATCGGTTGCATAATTAATTGATGAAGAAGCGGTCCGTCATCATCAGTGACCGGGGGCGATCGTGGTGTTCGGCGGCGCTCGCCACAGCTCGGCGATGTGACCTCTGGCCGATGATCGTCCGTTTGTATACTGTCAGTGTGTGGCGAGACGGGTCCGTCCACACCACCCCAAACCATCCGCTACGCACCAGCTGGAGCGGTGCCGGGCCATGTGGCGGCCAGTGACGGGTGTCGGGTGAGTGAGCGAGGACCCCGTGACGGCCCCGCGCCGATCTGTCAGCGGCGAATTAGCGCGTCTGTCAGCGCCCGCAGCGTCTGACGAGACACTAGAGACGGCCCCGTCACCCCTCCGACGGTGATCCCGGCCTGGGTGGGCTCCGGTGGGGCCGCAGACCCTCGTGTGGGACTAACGATGGCAGGCTCGTCTCGGAGTCAGTAAAACCCGGCTGTAAATTATCAACGATGACGAATGGTTTCGGCGAAAGCTGCCGATAGCTTGTGTCAAACTAATCCACTGTTTGGAATGACATGTCTTTTTCGAGGCCTCACGTTAATAAGATCAGGACGACGGGATTGAAACAGGATATGTCGTGTCTATATGGATTTAAAAAAGATGATAATCATAACTGCATTATTATATTCGTTCAGTCTATTGCTTCGATCCCAATTATTGTGTAAGGTCCTAACCAATTATGAAGTTTCCACTTCAAATATGACGACTGAACTCCATCAAAAACATTTAGACATTTTAATGAATCGTAAACGAACTGGTCCATTCTCCAGTCCGGCCCCAGTCGCGGTCGCACATTTGTTTCGTCGTCGGAGCAGGGAAGGAGAAATCACGCCACTGAAACGTGGACACTGGACACTCAGCCATCACCTGACCGTCTGAGATTCACTATCACTACCGCCGCTGCCGCCGGCGGGCAGCAGCAGCGGCGGCGGCGGCGGCGGCGGCGGCGGCGGCGGCGCAGGATAGCCGTCACCAGCAGCTCTGGCTGCCGCCGTATGCTGCGCTGCCCGGTCGGAGGTCAACGCCCGTCGCTGACCGTGACCGCCAGCCTAGCTGCCCGCTCTGTGGGCCCCACCTCCATACCTGCCGCTCCTCTCCGCGCCGCAGCGGCCCAGTCCGGCCTGCTCCGCCGCGGCTTCTGCGAACCGACGTCATGTTCGATACGGGTTTATTGTGAACGGACGAGGCTCATGAAAGCAACAAGCCCACACAAGGTCGGTATCGGAGCTTTTTAAAGCTGCAGTAGACCCGAAGTTTCTCAAGAATGGTGACCTTCGGTGAAGATTTACACGTCCGTTCCCCTGGAGCGTGTAAATTTCGATTCAAAGGAGCCATTCACAAGTTGTCAGGCTCCTGGCGCACCGCTTCAAACGGCCAGCCCCACCGCCCGGGCTGTGTCGTCTGTTCTGCAGTGTTTGGACCCGCTGAAATCCTAATAAACAAAGCGCTGCGGGCGGCCGGAGACGTATAGTTACCGTGCGTTCCGTGTCACGGCGAACCTGTCTCGCACCAATCGCCGTGCATTGTCGGTGACGGACAGAGGCAAGGTTCGGCGACGATGTCAGGAATCGGTTCAGATAATCGAAACAATCAATCTTACATTGTCGAGAGCGGCACGTGAAACCATTTGCTTCACAAAATTCAAGCTCATATATGGAATTAAATGTAAGGCAAAACAAATATAAGCTCAATTAGAAGAAGTGCTCGCAATGCAACCATTTATTAAGGGCATAGTTTGGAAATGACAGAAACAGACGAGTTGCAATCGTTGATCGTTTATGTAATAAAACATCATGATAGCACGTATAAGCAAACTGCCAGTGTAAACCAGGAACGCAGCAGTCTGCCGGATCTGCGTCTGTTTATTTCGCTCTGTTTACGGTGTTAGATTGGGCCGTTAGTATCAGATACCCACTAACTGGCAGCACATGGCTCAAATATTCCTCTCACACACACACATGCATACAGTCGCGCCAGGCGAATGCCACAGTAGGAGCGCTTAAATGCAATTGTTACAGCACCTCTATCATACTTGGGAGGCGATAGCGTTTAGAACTGTAGAATCATATCACGTAGAAATCTGGTGTGACCTGAGCCGGAGACGATGATTTGGCGGCTTGGCCTATGTGTAACCTAGGTAAGTGCCGAACCTACTTGTGACCTGAGTCAGGGGTGATGATTTTAGCCCGATGCGACCTGTCCGTGCCCGTTTACCGCCGACATCTCACCAGGGCGCTGACACCCGGTGATTTGACCCTCCGTGACCTGACCTGAACCGTGCCCCGGCAGGTGGCCGGGATAACACCCACTAATGTGACGTTCCGTGACCTTGCGTGACCCGTGCTCCGGCAGGTGGCTGGCAGTGCCACCCGATTATCTGACCTGACCTTCCGTGACCCGCACTCCGGCAGGTGGCTGGCGGTGACGCAGTTCCAGCCGACCGACGCGCGCCAGGCATTCCCCTGTCTGGACGAGCCGGCGCTCAAAGCCACGTTCGCCATCACGCTCGGACGTTCGGTCAACATGAGCTCGGCCTCTAACATGCCGATCACGCGGACGGAGCCGATGTAAGCAGGGATGGCGCACCCGAAATTAATCTATTAGTATAGTAGACCGGCCGGCCTGGTTCGCTAATGCTGGTGGAATGCCAACAGTTAGTCGGCGCGCTTATCTTACTTGTCATGGCTGGGACCACCATGCTGCAGCGCAGTAGAGGATTGTTCTTCAATCAACATTCTGGAGAACAACGTGTATAAGCACACTGATTTTGTTACAAAATGCCAAAAATGTGTAATGGAATGGAATTTATAAATGTATTTGGTGCATATCTCACTTACCTATAGGTATTCGTAGTTCCCTGACGTACCAGATATGTTTTAACCTATGCAACTACGCGACTTAGTTACAGCTTTGCCGGCCAATAGTGCTGGTTAATGAAAACAACTGTGGCTTGTTTCACAGCGATGGCAAGCCGGGCTTTGTGTGGGACGTTTACGAGAAGTCGGTGCCCATGTCTACCTACCTGGTGGCCTTCATGGTGTCAGACCTGGCCTCCAGAGAGGCCGATCCGGGGGTCAGCGAGACGCTCTTCAGAGGTATGGGGACACAAAGCAGCTACAATAAGGTTGATCATTTAAAATAATGATTATCGTAATGACTTAAGTACTTGAATTATTCATTTTGTGCGTGGGATGGATTTGTCTTCAATGTCTTCGGTGACCTGACCTGACGGCTCGTTCGGCAGTCTGGGCACGTCCGGCTGCCATTGAACAGGCGGAATACGCCCGCAAGATCGGACCGCAGATCCTCGAGTACTTCGAGGAGTTCTTCAAGACGCCGTACCCGCTGCCGAAACAGGACATGGCGGCGCTTCCCGACTTCTCTGCCGGCGCTATGGAGAACTGGGGACTCATCAACTACAGGTAAACAGTTGCACTCGTAAGGTGTTTTTGACCCTCATCACGTATGTCCATTCCTCCATGACGTCTTCATTCTGATATGCATTAGTAAACGTTGTACGCGTCCGGCACGTTCACCCTCTGGCCATCCGACACATTCACCCTCTGACAGTCGCGCCCGTCACCGACAGGGAGACGGCCATGCTGTACGAGCCCGGCGTCTCCTCGGCCAAGAACAAGCAGCGCGTGGCCGTGGTGGTCGCCCACGAGCTGGCCCACCAGTGGTTCGGCAATCTGGTCACTCCCAGCTGGTGGACCGACCTGTGGCTCAACGAGGGCTTCGCCAGCTACGTCGAGTACATCGGCGCCGATAAGGTGATTCTGAGTTAGGAACGACGAGACAAGATCGTTGTAGAATAAGGTCAGTTTCCGAAAGGTGCTATAACGATTTTGACTCCAACCAAGGGATAAATAATGTTTTTATCGGAATTTATTTCATAGGAAATAAGTTCCGTTGCGTCTTGCGAAAGCTGAATGAATTTCATTACGGCTGATACGCCGACGAACTATATGGACTTTTTGTCTTCATTGAATGCCTGGCCATGCGCCGGGCCGCCTGTACCATTGGCAATGTATGTATTCATTCCTTTCTGAATTGGCGTGCCCACATTTCCACTTTCACACCGGAAGCCATTACCCCTCCCGTCAACCCCCCCCCCTCCCCCACTTCCGGTGGAGGGTCGGGGTCGGCCTCGAGGTCGCCGGGGCGCCGCGCCGGTGTGCAGGGTGAAATGAGTGGGGTGCGCACAATGCCCGCGCCCGGTATTCCGGTTCGGGGAAGGTTTGTGCCACTGCTAGGTACTCTCCGTACACACAGAAATACGTTTAAATCCTAACCCTAGCCCTTTTAAATGTTCCTATTGGGGAACAACTTAGCAGAACAAAAGTTTCATTTTTTAATTGCTTTTACGTGTCAATTAACGAACGAGCGCACGCAGATCTAACACACAAAGCACAGACCGTCCACACATCGCCTGCAATCACAAATACGCTATCAAACCTTGAAACTAAAATTAGAGCAGCGTGTGCTGAGCGATGCTGCCGATGAAGCCGTCCTTCCACGGGAGTAATCCGCCCATGGCCTATATCGCACATGTCTTGGCAGACGGCGGCTCGACGCCGACCGCCGTCCTTGAGAGTAGACATGCTGCGCGGATTGCACGGATTGCACGTCCCGTCCGTGATGGATTGTGGCACTCAGATTACCCCGATGCAGAGCTCCGAAGTGTGCGGACCTTTGTCAGCGTGGCGAGCTTTGATTCGTGTAATTCATTGCCACCCTTGTCTGGAGCGTCGCCTGTGGCAGTCAATGTGAAAGTGGTCTGGGCGGACGAGCGAGCAATGAGCACTCAGGGCGATGTGTGTGGCTCGTAGAGGTGCCAGAAGGGACTGTCCAGTGTCCGTACCTATATGTAAACTCGTCAGTGACGTTCACGATATCTTGAAGTCATTGACGTTCCTGGTTCGTGCGATCTTTATTGACGTCATTGATCGGCACAGGTGTCACTGACGTGGGCGTCAGTCGCACTTCGATCAGTCGCTGGCATCACTTGTATTTACAGACATCGCCAGTCCGGCGTTCCAACAGCATTAGGCACTACATACATTGGTTTATATCGTGCGCCACATGCCTGCCCGAAGTCCTCAAATAGTCGCGTGCCGTCCCGAGAACCGGTCTTTTTCCGTCCCATGCCGCTTCTGTGCTCGATGCAGTCTGACGGAGACCGCTGACCGGGTCCCAATAGCTCCCCGACAGTCCGGGCGAGGGAGGACAGAACGAACGTCCGTTCCCTGCAGTCCCGAGGGAAGGCCCCCACGTCCAGACAACAGACGTCGTGCGACGGACGGCCGTGCCGCGCCGCTTTTGGCCCAGCCGCGCCGCGACAGTCTCTGGCCGTCACTCACCGTCGTCCCCGCAGAGCTGTTCGTCACAGACTGATGAGGGACGAACTGGGACAGACTGGGCCGAGTTCGTTGGGTCAGGACATCTTGTGTTATACGAGTGCACCCAATCTGAGATAGAGGGATGGCCTCGCAGTCCCGGAGCGTTGGTCCATCCGAAGGGCTCGTCGGGTGTCTGTATGATGGAGATGCTGCCAATTTTAGCTTCATCAGTCCTGTAGGTGCTATATTGGCCGAGGCTGTGTGTGGGGATGACAGCTACGAGAAGCATTACCATTGTCGGCGGGCGTAGGGGAGAGTGGGGCAAAGCGGCCACCCTAACGTTTCTAACGATGCCGACGCTTGATTTTTAAACTTGGAAAGATTCTTTCTATACCAATGTGATCCTTATTAAATTGTCTTTTATTCCAACTGCGTTTCATTTCCAAAGGCGTTCACATATGGGAGATATTGACAAAACTTTAAACCTATAGCATATTGGCCACTTTGCCCCATCCCTGAGGCAAAGCGGCCACTGGCGACTTCTCAAGTCCCGATATGAGAAACAGAATAGTTGCCTCATGCACGACTAGGGTATTTGATGCTGACAAGGTTTAAGGGAAGATGGATGTTTACTTTGTTATCTTCCCACCTATTGCTAAACAAAGAAAGAATTTTCTTGGAAAAACATTTAATTGAATAATTTGGTAACTCATGTAACCGAAAAGTGGCCAAGATGAATGCATGACGACACATTTGAATATAAATAATGTTTTTATCCAGATGGAAACAACTTATGGTCAATTGGGGGCTGGCCACTTTGCCCCGGCCGCTTTGCCCCGCGCATACCGTCCGAGACAAAAATATTCCAGCTCAGCTATTAGTGGGGTAAAAAGCATTAAAATTGGTAGAAGGCATGTACGATAACCACGCAATGCATGGACAAAAACGCTTATAATAATTCCAAACGGTTATGGAATCAAATAACATTTAAAAATTGTAAACATAATTGGTAACCTGGCAAGAAATGCTTTTCCGTGTTTCACAGAACAATGGCGATGGGCCTGAAACCCCGGTCTGGCTCATTCGAACGACCGCAAAGAGAAGTATAATTGGAAATCATAAATTGGAACTGACGCCAGCTGTGGAGGGCTAAAACGATGGATGGCCGCTTTGCCCCGGGTGGCCGCTTTGCCCCACTCTCCCCTATATGCGTACTGGAACCGACGCAAAAGAGGCTGGCATAATCAGCATGCTTTATATGCGGTACGAAGAACAGACAGACGCTCTGCTCGCCGCGACAAAACAGGCTGCCGGCCGAACCAGAGACACTCGGAAACGATAGTTGCTTGGAAATGAATAGTCGTAGACAGACCCAAGGCCCTAAAAACAGACAGACCAACACCAGTAATAAGGAAACGCTATGCTTCATCCCCAAGCAAAAACTATTGAGATGAACGAACGTGTCGGCTCTATACGCACCAACGCGTCTGCTCGCCTATCCGTTCAGCGAATCTCGTCTCGCAGGCCAATCTTATTCTATCGTCGATACGTTCGCCGTTTGCGACCCGTAGCACGTTCCATCAAAGCATAATAAAGTGAGTACCTCACTGTTTGCAGGCTTAGGGGAAAGTGGGTGTATTGCGCCCTCCTTACCAATTGCGCCCGCCCACATTCCCACGAATTCAATGGCATGTTAAGCATTTTGTTTTCGAAAACATTATTTTCACCACTGGATAGTTCCTTTTATGGCCCAAGCTCTCCGATGAAGCCAATCAGCAAGGCTCATTACGCCATCAAAGATGTTACGGCGTTTTCTTAACTTTTTTGCAGCATTTTGAACCGTTGGCTATAAAAATAGGCGATACATGTGTGATTTTGAAAGTGATATTTGGAAAGAAAAATCCTTTTTTCATTATATTTCACTGAAACAGTAAACATCCTTCAGCATCTTTATGGTAACTTCTACGCTTTTATTAAAAAGTACCCCAATTTTAATTGCGCCCATGGCAATTGCGCCAGGGGGGCGCAAATAGAATAATGGTGTAGCTATTGTATCACGACAGTATGAATGCATCATTAACTGATTGCAATAAAGAAGGAGTTTATGTCAGGCAGGGGAGCAACCCGCCATCGACAGTCCAAAAATTATTTCTCTCATCGAACTTATAATGTAGCTGCCATTTAGGCTATGAACTTGCGGTGTAATTGACAAAATACGACATTTTTAACATGGACACAGGCGTGAGAGGTGACAGCTATGATACAAAGTAAAAACTGATGTCAAAAAAGTTGTAGAAGCAATAAAAAATGTTAATTTTGAGAGAAACGATTGAAAATATAACCGTCTAGGCGCATACGTTCATATATATCTAGTCGGTTACATCAACGTTTTCGTTCCACTTCACAAGCATACCGGACACAGGTAAAGTTATTTACCTGCGCAAAAAACATCGCAATTTATATCTACATTTATTATGCATCGAGCTTGATTCACATAATACATGTTCAAGTAAGCCACAATGACATAGAATGTCGGAGTGTATGCATTCCGTCTCCTTTGCTTAGCCATGTTAAAGGATAGGGCGCAATTGGATTCTAATTGCGCCATCCCCCTGGCACAATTTACAGCAGTTGTTGGTAAATGCGCCCTTTTGCATGTTTCTGAAAAAGCAGCTGTCAGAAGCAAACGAAACATTCTTAATTGATCGGGAGGCTCTTAAATCGTAGCCAATGAGTTCCTCTTTAAAATGGTTACCAGTGCATGCTTACATCTCCAGTGGTTTTCTTACAATTAGCGTTTTCCCTTAAGGTGGCGCAATTCACCCTCCTTCCCCTATATACCAGAATAGCACTGCATTGCGTGTGGTTTTGCATCAAACTGAACTCAACTTGCGCAACGAATAGGGTCGACGCAGCACGCACCTGCAGTGTATTTAGATACACTGAGCACGCACCCTCCCTGTTGCCTCATATGAAGCAGCTGTGACATCCGGTAACATGTCAGCTCTGTCAATGTCCAGTCACGAACGACCCGCTGGAAAGCATGCCACGAATCGCTGGCGGCTGTTTGGAAGAGCCAGAGACAGGTCAGTAGAGAGTCACACGGGGTCATCGTGGAAGTTATCTGTGTCTGTGATATAAGACGGGCCATGCAGTGGGGCATGTGGAAGGGTGTACTGTATAGTGTATATAGTCGGTCAGTCGTTCGTTCATGCTCGATCACCAGAAAGTCCGTCCATTCATGAGCATCATCGAAAGCATTGCGGCAAGTCATCTCCAACTGGGGCCACCTACGGGACAACGGGGAGACATCAGGCAAAGAAATTAATAACTCATCCGCATGCCATCTATCTTATCGAAAAATCACATCACCGTCTGAGACGCCCCGAGTAAGACGGAAGGGAAGCAGCCAGCAGGCGATCTCCGCCGAACCCCGTACGAACCCCCATCCCGAGAAGCTCAGACCACCGGCACCGCACGGCCCGCCGTCCAGGTCCGGGTGCGGAGCGGCACAGCTGTGCGCCGCCGGTTACGACGTATGGCAGTCGCGGTTTTATGGTGCTCGCTAGAGCTGATCCGGCCTGGCAGCGCTTCTCTCGGGGCCCGCCGGCTTCGTGGAACGAGCGCTCGGCTGGCGGTCCTCTGTTCACTACACAGCCTGCCACAGCAGCAGCCAATCAAACGCATCGTCTGAATTACACGGACATGTAAATATTTACATACATTCCTATTTGGCCAATCAGTCTCCCGAACGACGCGTCTGCACCACAGGGCCCTGTTCTTGCCTGTTATGTGATGTCTCATCCTCTTCGCCGCGAAAGCTTTTTACAATAACATCAATCTATTTCCCAACGTCAGTTTTTGTGTCAGGTTGAGTCTGACTAAAACACTTCTGCTATGTCTCAACCTTTCTCCCTGTCTGCCTGTTCTATGTTCCTCCCATCGTTCCTCCCCGCTATCTGATGTATGCTCTCTCTCCCTCCCTCTCTCTCTCTCTCTCTCTCTCTCTCTCTCTCTCTCTCTCTCTCTCTCTCTCTCTCTCGCTCTCTCGCTTTCCCGCCCCAGCTCTGCTCTGTGACCCTTCTGTATACATAGTCCCCGCTGCCTGCTGTACCCTCTCCTCTTCCCCTGACTCTTTTTGTATGAACTTCTCTGAGTTCTCCCCTCTCCCATGTGGTCACCCTCCTTTGATCACCTTACCACCGTCTTCGGTCGCCAGGTGGAGCCGTCCTGGAGGATGATGGAGCAGTTTGTCACCAACGAGGTGCAGAACGTGATGACCACGGACGCCCTCGAGACGTCGCATCCCATCTCCATCAAGGTCCACCACCCAGACGAGATCAATGAGATCTTCGACAGGATCTCGTATGAAAAGGGTATGTTCTTCTTGAGATGGGGTATGATGGGGTATGAGATGGGGTAAAAGAGTATGTTCATCTTGAGATGACTCGTCTTTTTATAACGGGGTGGCGTGGAGCCGGTGCTTTACAACTTGTTCGGGTTGTTTTATTTGGTTTCGTATGCTTTTATCGCCGAAGTGCGTTGTAAATCTTGCGAGATTTCGATTCACCAATGCGCAATTGTTTGTGTGAATAGAAACAAACATTGAGCTGCAGTCGGGGCTTTATATCTATTTTCTAATTATAGGTGATTGAAATTGCAGCGAGTTTATTTATGATTGGCATTTAACATCCTCCTTTTTATTGACAGGTGCGTCCATCATTCGCATGATGTCTCACTACCTGACCTCTGAAACACTGCGAAACGGTCTGGCCAACTATCTCAACGACAGGTCAGTGCAACATTCGCGTGTGCTCGTTTCACTTGCACGCAAATTTTGTACGGCTTACGAGTATGCGTGCGAGTATGCACCCATCACTAATCCTCCCATGTGCGCAAACCCGGCGTGCTAATAGGCCCGTGTCGTGACCCAAAGCCCCCGGATCTGGCGGGCTCTGATTTGCACGCACCCACCCAGCCCTCCCCGGAGCGCCGTCTATCTGAGATCGATGGCCTTGCTGTATCAGAGAGCGTCATGTGCTTGTCTCGGAGCGCTGACGGACGGAGGGGTTGCGTGCTGAGGTAATGGCCCGTGCGCCGCCCCCCGTGGCGCCCGCTCCTTTGATGGGCTCTTCACGCCGTCTGAACGTCGGGCGCCGTCCGGAGCCGGGTGGCAGCCCGCACTGCGACCGATGGCGCCGTTGGCAGCCTGTCAACACGTCCGATCCGGCCTCGCCGATCAGTCGACCCGATACAGACGGGGTGCCGTTTGAAGTCGGACCGAGCCGTGGTCTGAACGTGATTCTGTAGACGGCCCGTGTACTGAGTCATAGTTATGGGAATGGTTAACACAACAAATGCTCGTAGTAAAAGTCAAGACTTCATGAATTTATTCTGGCAACGCAAATAATAAGGCTTTTACATCAAAGTAATGAGATAAACACACTTGAGCTTATATTTCGAAGGGAAAATATACCGAATCTTCCAACCGCGTGAATTCATCCGGACAGAATACAGCCGATGTATCATGTATGTGTGCGTTTGCAGGAAGTACGAGGCGGCCACGCAGGACGACCTGTGGCGCTTCCTGACGGAGCAGGCCCACCGGGACGGCACCCTGGCCTCCGACATCAGCGTCAAGCAGATCATGGACACGTGGACGCTGCAGATGGGGTACCCGGTGGTGAAGGTGGAGCGCAACTACCGCGACGGCACCGCCCAGCTCAGCCAGGTCAGTTGGGTGACCTGACCCTGACCCTGATCTGACCTTCACCTGACCCGACCGGACAGCGACCCTAAACTAACCTGATCCGACCGAATTTGATCTGATCGGACCCCAGCCTGATCCAACGCGACCTTAACCTTGACCCTGACCGAACCTCCTCAGCTTTGTGCGACTCATCGACTCATCGGGATGAGTTAGCTAAGTGGAGAGCTAAAAACGATGCCATTTATCATCAGTCTGCCTTCCATTCCCCATCTCTCGGCTTAATTTCTAGAGTGAAGGACCGTGCAAAGAACTAACCCAGTGAGCGGATACCGTAAGGTTAGACCACTAACACACCATTCACGGCACAGCGATGACGACCGAAAGCGAGACACGCCACTGTGTTGACATCACATTCGCCGCATCCCGGCGTTCCGTTACGCCAGGTTACACAACCGGTCATCATCAGTCAACCCTGATCGGTTCACAAGCAAAAACCGACCCACGGCCCAGTGATCAGCGAATTTTGATGCGCCAGTGATCTCTATCTCTCCCCTACCGTTAAAACGTCGAGTTTCTTTCAGAGATGTTTTGCTGGATGCCATTTTCGGTGTCATGATTTCGACGAGTGGTTGCCGCTCCTCAGTCATTAAAAGAAGTGACTGGTAAACGAATGGTGTAAGAAGCGACCGCCCCTTTCCCAGCATCGCTCTCCTTCTGGGTCACAATTCCGCTGACCGTTCTGCAACTCCATCTCCCGAATGCCCACATTACAACTCCGATCCACAGACCACCAGCCCGAAGACCACAGGCCACCAGACCACCTAATCACAGTCGACCATAGACCACCAAAAGCTAACGCTGCCAGGTGCCGGCTGCCACGTGCCAAATGCTCTCCCTCTCCATCACTCTATCTTCTAGCAATTCAGGCATGTTCGACGCATGACGCGGGGCTTCTCGAAATCCCAGAGACCACGAACTACCGTGGCGGGAGATAAACAGTGAGAATGGCCAAATTTGTGGGGAACTTGCGGTCAGCCACGTTGTAAAATGATGGGTTGAATGCTTCTCTCGGTGGCGTTTCTATGAAATTCTCCGGAGAGAGGGGAACTAGCGGAAGAAAGAAAGAGGAGATCGATTTAGAAATGAGAGAGAGAGAGAGAGAGAGAGAGAGAGAGAGAGAGAGAGAGAGAGAGAGAGAGAGAGAGAGAGAGAGAGAGAGAAAGAGAGAGAGAGAGAGAGAAAGAGAGAGAGAGAGAGAGAGAGAGAGAGAGAGAGAGAGAGAGAGAGAGAGAGAGAGAGAGAGAGAGAGAGAGAGAGAGAGAGAGAGAGAGAGAGAGAGAGAGAGAGAGAGAGAGAGAGAGAGAATGAATGAATGAATGAAAAAATGCGTTCCGCTTCCTTTCTGAAACTAACACATCGTTTTACGTTTAAGGTTTAAAACAGCACCTAAAAGAGATAACCCTTAAAATAGAACCTATATATGCAAATTTCACTTCAATTCATCCCATGTGCTGGCCATCACGAGGTAATCTAACTCATGGACCCATGTGGCATCTGCCGCCACGAATACTGTATCGCTGGATGTTATTTTAGGAGCTCCCCGATGAGCAGGCCCCGTATTCGGCTCCCGGCTGGGCTGATACCGACCGGGCAGGCAGCGCGTGCCTCGACTGCAGGAGGGCTGATATCCCGTGTCCGGACACTCTCCTGTGTGCTGGTATAAACAGTGAGCAGGCACGGCGGGCGAGCCGTCAGTGCGTGCTCAGGCGCTCTGCCCGATATCGGAGACGGAAAAGGCTATAGAGAAATATCTAATAAAAAATATAACGGTGGCAACCGAATTATAAGTAAATAACAGGTACAAAATAACCCCATTGTTGGTTGCGACAATTGAGATATGTGATGTAAAACCCGGCGATAGATCGCTGAACTATCCGGGTATGCGTGTCTGCAATCATAATGTAACCAGACGTATGCCACAATGCCTTGCTTGAAGATAAATGCTCGCACATCACTGACAAGTTCAACGACCACATTAAACCACCCTACTGCCCAGCACGACTCTCACTGTCTGTCAGTGAACGGTGAGCACGTGATTGGACCGGTCGACCGCGCGCCGGCCGTCCGACCGGTTCGCTGTGGTCACGTGTCACCCCGGTCTCATTCTCACAGAAACGGTTCCTGCTGAACGGCGCCGAGAGCGCGTCCGAGTACCTCTGGTGGGTGCCGCTGACGTACACCAGCCAGGGAACGGCCGACTTCAACACCACGCGGCCCTCGACCTGGATCCGAAAACAGCCCCAGATGACGCTCACCGGTTAGTGATAAAGAAAGCACGACCCGCAGTCGTCAGGGCGGCCTGACCACGACCGGTTAAATGACCGGTCAAGGGATGCATGCTAATGAGATAGATTTCACTTTCTGGACAGCTTCATTCTGCAAAGTATGTGCAATTATGTGCAATTACTGGGTGCAAGTAAAGGCAAGTAGTGTTCTAGCAGAATGCTAAATAACTGAGTTTATTTTCTTTTGGCACGAGTGCGGTGAACCGATCACAATAATAAGTGGATGATTCTGTTGTTTCCACGGATTTGTCCAAAGCTTAAAACAAAAACAAAATTTGTAAACGTGGCTGTATTTATTTGCTGCATTTTCAGACATGCCGCCGTCGGACCAGTGGGTGATTTTCAACACCCAGGAGACGGGTTACTACAAGGTGAACTACGACCAGCAGAATTGGGTCATGATCACCTCCCAGCTGGCCAACGACCACACGGCCATCCACACCATCAACAGAGCTCAGGTGAGACGTCTGCGAGTAATAACCGTCAGCGTTGAGCTGCGACAGACTGACAATGCTCAATGATTGATCAGTTAACTCTTAGACATTTGTTTTAGGTAGCTTTATTGCCCAGTTCATATATTTATGCAAGCATCTCGGTTTTCGGAGATTTGCGGTTCAATGGAGCAAAGGAAAATATAAGCCCTCGTTGTCGCTTATCAGTTGCTAGGAAAGTAATTTTGGCCACCATTACCCAGCTCCGGGACACACCGACAGTCGACACGCATTATACAAAATACCTTACGGCGCTGTTTTACTGTCATATACGCTGTACCGCCACACAGCCGTGCGCTGCGGGTTGCCTACCTGCCTGCAGATTCTCAGCTGGCGACTGAGCCGCACGGTCGCTGTGCGCTGCGGAATAGCCTATGTGACTGTATTTGAGAGCAAAACGAAATTCACCCGCACATTTCGTTCAATATTGTATTATATTGAGAGAAGTGAGAACAGCTCAGAAGCCTTTATTTACGATCTATAAATATACAATGGAGGTGCGGGTGCGCAGACACTGTTCGGGGCATTGCTTCACTGTATGACACATGCATGAATGCTATCAAAACATCGATACGCAAATAGCAAACCTACGTTCTATGCCTATACCCTCAAACTTTGTCTGACTCGTATCTTCCACCTCCCTCAGCTGATCGATGACGCTCTGGACCTGGCTCGCGCCGGGATGCTCGGCTACGACACGGCCCTCTCCGTGCTGGGCTACCTGGGCAGTGAGGTCGAGTACCTGCCCTGGGACGCCGCACTCAACAACCTGGCCTACGTCAACGTGCAGCTCAAGCGCACCGCTGGCTACGGACTCTTCAAGGTAAGTTCGACCCGCATTATTCGGTCAAACGAACCGGCCTCTGTTATTAGATGTATTGAATTACGGCATGCCGCAACATTTGGAACGTCCCCAGAGTTTCATTTAACTCTGTCCAGGCCAGGGATCTTCCCCTTTTCTATTTTCTTTGCGCCTCGCTTCTTGCGTTGATGTGTGGTTCACACCACGCCTCTGGCCGACAGCGCTTCATCCTGAAGCTGATCCAGCCGATGTACGAGCGGGTCGGTTTCGAGGAGAGTGCGAACGACGCGCACCTGGACCACTTCACCCGAGGCAACCTGCTCAACTGGGCGTGCAGCATGGGTCACCCGGACTGCGTGAAACGCTCTGTGGACCAGTACAAACGCTGGATGGCCGACCCGGACAACGACAGGTACCAGCGCCGCCTCGGACGGTCACAGCCGCTGGCACTGGGACCGATGGAATGCATGTATCGAATGTAAACGAAATGTTGGAATAATCTCGCTCGAAGTAATTTTCATCACCAAACGGAAGGACTTTGGAACAGACTCGTCTTTTGTTGATGCCACGCTTTTTAAAGACTATATGTTCATAGGTGAAATGTGCTCGAGTAAATTATTTGATTCATTCGTACATACATCTTGCATGCATCATGCATGCACTGGCTCTGGTAACTAACCTTTCCGCTGTCAGCATTGCATAGGTTACAAAGCTCGGTGTTCCTACTGGCCAGTCAGTCAGTCGCCCTCTGTTGACCACGAACATCGTCTCTCATTACAGCATAATCGCGGCCAACCAAAAGTCTGTTGTGTACTGCACGGCGATCCGTGAGGGCGGCGAGGAGGAGTGGGAGTTCGCGTGGGCACGCTACCAGGCAGCCAACGTGGCAGCCGAAAAGTCGCGCCTGCTCTCGGCGCTGGGATGTACCAAGGAGATCTGGATCATGAGCAGGTCAGGGGAGCAAATATGTTAGACGCTTGGTTGCCGTGGAGCGGAGAGGTCGTGGGCTGCGTCAGATGGGGAAACTCAGGTTGGATGGTGGGGTGGGGTGTTCTGAATACTGTATGTTGTCATTTCGGGCGACTTTAGATGGTATAGGCGGTACAGCATCCTAACGGCACATGTATGCTCTAAGCACCTGCCGAGACTGCAGTGTTCTAGCACAATCGAACCTCTGTGTGCTCTGTAAGGTAGCTGAACTGGACGGTGATTCCCGACTGGGGTGTCAGAGTTCAGGACGCTGACCTAACCTCTGTACCCTGCCGGGTACACTGACCCGACCTCTGTGCACCCTGTCAGGTACCTGAACTGGACGGTGACTCCCGACTCGGGTATCCGAGTTCAGGACGATAACCCCTGCCGGGTACACTGACCTGACCTCTGTGCACCCTGACAGGTACCTGAACTGGACGGTGACGCCCGACTCGGGTATCCGAGTTCAGGACGGAGCCCAGGTGTTCTCCACCGTAGCCTACAACTCCGTGGGCCGCTACCTCGCCTGGGACTTCCTTCGAGACAACATCAATCTAGTCGCTAAAGTGTGAGTTCCACCCCAACGTCCCGTCCTGGTTGTCACGCGATGAGCTATGTTGTTATCACAGTGCTGTATCTGTGAGTGAAAGCCGGGCTGGTGGTCCAGGGCGTCCAGGGTGCGTTAGGGTTCGCTTCATCATGTTTATCAAACTCGGCTTGTTTTCTTTGACACTGAAAGCGGTCACCGGGACCAAAGGAGAGAGTCTCAGACTTTGACCGTCGTTGTGGCTCGGTCACGCGATGGAATGTGTTTGTTTTGGTGAACGGCTGTGATCGGCCTCATCCTGTTTAGGTTGGTGGCGTCACGGACATCGAACGTAACGGGTGCGGGAGTGGCTCGGTGGCTCGTATAAACAGGGGAGCGCGCGCGCACGGGGACTTTGGCTCCGGTGTGTGGAGTGTGTTGATCGTGCTGCTGAGTCACGGTGCAACATGAGAAGGTCCATCCGCCCACTCCCAATATCACGCCAAGTTCCCTGCCGACCACTTTATCATTACAGTTTCAGCCTTTAGTTTGTTTTATTTACCTTAAGTATTATTTACGTTTGACATCTATGACCCAATTGACCCTGTAACCGTTTTATTTCATTCGTTTTATTTGTTCTGTTCTCACATGTGTTTGTTGTGTTTTTAGTTACGGCGCCAGCTCGTTCATGCTCTCGCGATTTATTAGAACTCTGCAGTACGGATACAACACCGAACTGGACCTGAAGCAGGTACGACTGGCCGCCCTACCGCCCGCTCTGCGCACACCTCCAGTCCGCGATATCACGATCCTTGTCCTCCGCACCTGTGACTGTGACCTCACAGTGTGACTGTGACGGCCACCCCCACTCTCTCCCTGGTGTTGGTGGTGATGGGACGCCGCCTCACAGTGTCCCTACTCTACCCAGGTTCAAGGGCATGTATCATCTGAACATAATTTTCGAATCGCTCGGAAGAGACGTTAACCAATGGAGCAATCTGGTGGAGGTACGAATCGGGCCAACGAGACTCGTAGTTTAATCGTCCTTCGCAAGGCTTTCAATTTTAGTTTGCTTGTAAAATCACATGTCAGTGACACTCCATGGAGTGTGTCCAAACTGGCGGCTGCATGACAATTGATTTTCAAAACCCGTATCTTCGAAGCTGTACTTAAAACGCTGTTTATTCAATTACGCATGCCCCTGCTATTGGAGGACGTTCATTTGCTGTGCATAGCACCCGCAATTCAATAGTCCCAAATCTCCCGTGACCATCTACCATATCTTGCCTTAACTTCGCATGAACCTTCCATGTTACTTATGTTGCCCTTTGGACACTGCCCAAGCCGACCTTTATCACTTTCCCATCCCACCAAATGCCATGCTCGCCATTGTCTGTTTCGTGTTGCCGCATATTATTGAATGGCGATTTTATTTGTTGTCTTGTATTTTCAGTCTTCATTTTAATGCCTTCATTCACATCAATGTCTTTAAATAAACCATGTAAAAATAGGAAGTGTCCATTACTTTTTAGATCATTGCTGTCATGTTATATACCATAACAGTCTGGAGTTGTTAAGCATCCAGCTTGAACTCTAAAAAGCGAGTTCCGTTACATACGCCCACGCACATTAACGTTTTGCAGCGTAATTTGGTACCTATGTGTACGAAGCCTCACTTTATTGCGATAAAGTAATCCAAGCATGAGATTTCACTGTTCCGCATCTAGGAAGTAAAAACCGATGTGCTAAGCTGATGCTGAGGAAATGGGATTGTCTCTCCTCCCTTCGTCCTAGCCCGGAGACTGACATCCCCCTTGTGTCGTCACCGCAGCTGAAGGAGTTCTTCTCTGCGAACGCTGCGATCCTGACCTCTGCCGAGCGGGAGGCCAGGCAGGCCGTCGAGTACTCCACCACCAACGTGGCGTGGATGAAGAAAAACTACGACACGATCGTGCGCTGGCTGAAGGAGCAGGAGAGCCGCTGAGCGGGAGAGTGTCCCCTCATAGCAGCGCGGCGACCCACGGCAGGTAAGGAAGAAAGGTGGATGGAAAGGCATGGTCAGACAGCAGCAGATGGATGGAGTGGCGGGTAATTCAATAGTAGCTCAGTAGTCAGCACAATACTACAAAGAGTAAAATGGAAAATACCAGTGAGTTCGAAGTCATTGTCACAGGAAGACAGAGGATCAGGTGGGTATCATAGCGCACTTAGGTGACCGGGAGCCAGTTATTGTCACCTTGGCGACACTTGTTGATTGGCAGATAACAGCGCCATTTCACCGTAACTGACGGAAGCGGTTGAGTTTCGCGGCACCGTGCGAATTGCACCACAGGGTGCAACTCGCAGAACGTACCTAATGGGACGGTTCTGCGAAGTTGACTCATGACCAGAAAACGTTTTACATTCACATGGAGACGATGAACGGCCCTTTAAAATTGTTTTTCTCAGAGTAAGCTTAACCATCATAATAAACAGCCAACAGGACTAGTCAAAACCATTAGCGCGATACGGTACGTCAAAATTGAGCCTCCTTGACCAATGACCATACAGAAGAACCGGAAAGCACGCAGAGGTGGCGCCACCACACCTAGTCAGTGGCTTGGCTGTTCGATGACAGGCGTCTCTTTCACCGCAGGTTCCGTCCACGGAGTCGCCGCCAGCCGCGCCAGATCTGCCCGTGTCTCCCCTTTCCGGGAGGTGGGAGTGCGGCTACCAGTCAGACAGGTCACCAGAACACCCGCTCCTTAGCTGACCTGACCTCACTGACGGATCGGGCCGCCCTCAGGGGACCCAGACCGCCAGCTGTCCGCCAGTTAGCGGCGCCGTGCGCCGCTGCCCCGCGCCGAGCGGCGGCGAGTGGCCGAACCGCGGCGGTTCGATAGCGTGTTATCGAAGACGAGAGACTGAGCTGTGGCTGTCACGTTTTACTGTGACGACAAAGTGGGACAATCGAGGGAAGCAGTGGTAAAGTGTGGCGGATTCTGACTGCGAGTTCGCATCTCCCGCTATATGTTGGACGTTGGTGTCTGTTCTTGAGAGTGTTGTGTAAATATCGTGTGGTGTGTGAGTGGTGTCACGTATCGTCGCCTGGAGCGACGTTCAGTACCGGTACCGAACAGGGCGAGAAGCGCAGGCGGTCGTGGAAATAGGAGACATACGGAAACTGTCTGCCCCACAGTCGCTACCAGTGCCATTGCTACAGGTTTCTGAATCCCCGAGACGGTGTATACGATATACATTATACAATATACATGGACGTATTTTCGTAAGTCCGCACTTTTGTGTGTCTGGTGATTTGTCTATACCAGCGTGCTGCGATTGAGACAGATGTTATACAGCTAGCCACCGTGTATTGGTGATTCAACAAATTGTATAAAGCATTGATCCCATATGTTCTATTGAGAGCCTATTGCCGTGTACAGACAATACAAAAACATGCCCAACTTGTAATATTTCTGGTCTTTGGGACGAAAAGAAAAGACCGAGCGAACCATAAGCTTCAATAAAAATTACGTCTTTTAGAACAGAACCCCAGGGGTAACAAGACGGGGTTTTCAAAAACACAGAATAAAAATGATGCAAAAGTAAAGCCTTCGTAGTCTCCTTAACAATTAGTATTATGAGTACCACTTAAGATCGCGAGTATCAAGTGATGCAAAATTCAAGAAAAAAAGTCTTCCAATTCACTTTCGGCCGAACAAGCCGAATCCTATCACAACTAACAGCTGCAAACTGCTATGCACTCATCTGCCTATGCTCTTCCATCAGATCCACGCATTAAGGCATGAAGCAGAATATATCACCCATGCGTGTCCCTGGCAGAAACCTTACATCTCGTCACATCGGGGCTGGTCCTACGGAACACTCACCCTCTGCGACTGTGCCATCCCTGACCGCTCCGGTGGCGATCTCTGTGGCCGCTCCGGTAGCGCCCTCACCAGTGTGCGCCGTGCATCTCGGCCACTCCGCGCACCATGGCCGCGTGGCTGGCGTAGAGCTCGGTCTCGGCGCTGACGTCCGTCCAGCGCACAGCGCCAGCGTCGTCCCCGGCCTGCAGCGGGAACGCGCCCACCGCCTCGCCCGTCTCGTCGTGGAAGTTGAACGCCTCCGTCTCCATCCAGGCGTTGTCGGTGTTGCGCGGGTCGTCCACGTAGCCCTGGTAGACGGGCTTACCGGCGGCGAACACGGCCGCCACCTGGCACTCGAGCTCGCGCCGCCGCTCGGGGCTCGCCTCCAGCGCGTTGAGCGCCTCCTCCCTGAACTCGCGCTGCACGGCGGCCGAGACGCGCTCGCCGGCGTCCACCATGCCGCCGGGCAGCGCCCATTGTCCGCAGTCGCGCCGCTGGATGGTGACCAGCTGCAGCTGCGGCCGGCCGCTGGCCGGGTGCAGCCAGCGGCCGCCGTCGGCGCCGCGCCGCCACCGCGTCACCAGCGGGTCGGCCGCGTGGTTGGGCCCCCAGCGGCCGAGCAGACCGCGGCCGCGCAGCCCGGTCCGGCCTACCGGGTTGAGCGGCGCGCCGGCGGCGTCCAGCGAGTACCCCTCCGGCTGGCGACTGCGCCGATCCACGCCTCCCTCCAGCTGGTTCCAGCGCGGGCTGAAGCCGGCCTCCGACAGCTCCGGGTCTGCCCACGGTTTTCCGGCCAGAACTGGGCTGCTGTAGACAGGCGGTGCATACTCGGGCCATGTAACCGACCAGGGCACCTTGTCGTCAGGCACGGCCGCACGCTCCACCTCAGAGCCTGGGTACTTGCCACCACGACACTTGAAGTGCATCTTCATGGCTCTGAACATACAGCCTGCGGATGTCCTTGTCATACAGTGTTCTGCAAATGCTGTAAAGGACAAATGTACAATTATCAGGGTTAATGTTAGTGCAATCAACAACACTGATGAACAAAGAGGCTGCATAATGAACACCCATTATTCATGCTTCATCACATCATGAAAACTGCCCAAGACACTTGAATATTCAAGATTCAGGAATCAGGACTGATAATTAGGTGAATAGACATTTAGAAATTAAAAAAGTTGCCAATTAATTATATCAAATATTCCCCTTGTAGTCAACCAAAACTATAAAAAATACAGATGCATGTGATAAAACCACTTGGGATATCCTGTATCAGCATGTTGAAATGAGTAAAACAAGCTACAAAATATGAATTACAGCATACAACTTGAACACTTGATCGATATTTAACATTTATTGGTAGACAATATTTAATATTGTCTTAGGTACCTACTTTCAGGCGATGAAAATATCTAATGGGCAGCATGAATTAGATTATAATGAGGTTCAGCTTGCACAAGGCTCAGATAGCACGGTAGCAAGCGGTAAGATAGGATACATCAACATGAGAATATTCAACTACCTGTGGTTGCTGTGGTTCCAGTCTTTAGGTGATGGCTTTAGGTTCCAGAGTCTCAAGTCTCAACAGTTTTGGGAGTACTAGCCAAATTGAAATATTTCGGACTTTCTCAAAATTTTTACTAAACCATGTGAAGCATCACACAGCAGTTGAAAGTCGTGTTGTTGTTGTTGTTTTGGTTTAGGGCGCGTAGCAGCTTGGCTCTTGCGTCCAACCAGTTGAGAGTCGGACTGATGTGTTTTATGCAAATTGAAATGCAAGGTCATGCAGCACGCCATTCCTAACATCCACAGGCCAAATTCTGTTTATTCATATTTTGTCACAAGTTCGTCACTAGTCAGGAAAGGTCAATTGCCTAGCAACTTGAGGGCAAAGCGCGCAAGTTTATCAAAGCGAAACAGGTTGCTAGGCAACTAGCTTCTACATCATGCCAAGAAAGCATCTTAGAACAGAGCATGAAAAGACGAAAAAAGTTGAATGTTGTTGCTGGGATGGGACGCGTACCAACTTATACGGCCTTGCGCGTACCAGTTCTCTACATCTATTTTAGGGCCTTGTCTACATCAACATGCCGTGACGTGTACCAACAACATCAACATTCAACGTGGTAGCTTTGCGAACCCATAGGCCCATAGGAACCCATAGGAACCCATGTCAATGTGGAATTCAGATTGAGCAGGAATTGGGTGGAATCCAGTAAAGGAGTAAAGTGAAAGTGGAGTAAAGCCAAGGAGCTTTGTAGCGTGTAAGTTCTCATCATTTTACGCAGCTTATCATGTAACTTATTTGGCCTTGATTTTACAGTGGCCTGTAGTTCGAGCGCTAGGAATTACGAGGCATCGGCGGCTCTTGGAATGTAGGTAGGCAAGGCTTTTTGGTGCTTTTTTGCAAAAGAATTGACAAGGTGAATATAATATTTCAAAAGTCTCATCTATGAGACCGAGCAGAGCTTGAGGTATTGTTTTATGTGCTAGCTCAGACCAAGCATAGGGGTAAAACTTCAGTTTAAACAAGGTTGGACACTAATCAAAGCTGCACCAAGGAACAACAGCTTTTAATGTGCTGCTGCTACTGGTGCCGTGGCCAGTCAGACTGTCAACAGCATGCAGGGTGGGCAGGGCATGGATATATTGTGAAATATGCTGAATGCAGTGCACTGTTACAAGGTACTTGCTTATTATTATCAGCCTCTCATTGGTGAACCACTTGCTCCTTGTGAATTTTACCAAATCTCAACTATTGCAGGTTGAATTATGGATGACAAGAAGAATCAGGGAAACAAGAAGGACCAAGAAGAGAAGAAGCCAGTTAAAAATGCAGTTGATCTACAAAAGCTTAAACTTGAAAAATTGTTTAAAAACATTGTAAGTGGCATCAAGTTTGGAGCATCTGGATGAAACTGGAACTTCAGAGCATGGTCGAAATGACTATTGTATACTTATAATCAGCTATGTTTTTCATTTAAGTATCAACTACTGTAACAACCTTTTCTTCCTTGGCAGGAGAAGCCAGTGCACCTGCCTGAACCCGTCAAGAAGCGAGGTTTCTCGGCTGCCCCCGAGTTCGTTCGCAACGTGATGGGTTCGAGCGCTGGCGCCGGCAGCGGCGAGTTCCACGTGTACAGACACATCCGGCGGCGCGAGAACGCCCGGCTCAAGTACATCGCGGAGGAGGCAGCCAAGGTCAGTGACCTGACGCAGTGACGTGGAGGGGAGGGGGATTGCGACGATATGGGTCAAGGGTGGGCAGGGGTAAAATATGTTTGATGCACTGCACAATCTTTGCGTCGCAGCACGGTTGTTATCAGCGAACTATTTCCAAATTATTACTGTATTTCACATCCAAGCTTTGCATTTCGTTGAAAAATGTGTCATTCAGGTGCTTAACGTTTTAATGATTGCATGCCGTCAGCTGTAGTATCATCATTACTGCTGAATGACGTGTTACATTATCTCTCGCTTCCGCACTGCAGGAGGATAAGGACGAGGAATACCAGCGGAAACTGGAGGAGAATCGCAAACTGAGCGAGCAGCGCACCGCCAAGAAGCGCGCCAAGCGGCAGAAGAAGAAGGCTCGTCAGCAGGGTCGCGAGAAGCGACCCAAGGTGGCGCCAGCGTCGGCGTCGGCGCCGGCCGAGGGGTCGGAGTCGGATGACGATGAGAGCGGCTCGGAGCCGGAGCCTGCCGAGGGAGACAGGGTGGCAGAGGGACAGGGAGAGGGAGAGGGAGGTGATACGCCTGTGGAACAGAAGAACGCCGAGAGGGACGAGGAACGGACGGCGACGGTGGCGGGGGCAGATGTGGAGCATCCCAGGCCAGCCGGGTCGACAGAGCCCGGCTCGGACGATCCCAGTGCAGCGGTAAAGTGAGCGGTGGCCCCTGAGGTGGTGAAGTGACTGTGACCTGGCAACGTGAGTGTGACGTGATCGTTGGAGAGAGTGACGGCCATGGCTACTCTTAAGCTGCTGTCGTTCGTGGTGCGTAACGTATTTTGTTGTTGTGTGATGCGGTATATCATTGTCATAAGAACCACAACATTCGCTGTTTGATTGTCTGTATTTCATCGTATTTGACATGAAGTGTACGAATAAATATCAGCAAAAGCCTCCTCTGTAGTGACATATGTCGCAAAGTTTGATGCAGTGCTTACCGACTACATTCAACGGCCAATGTCAGGCCGAATTTTATTGGCCTAGTGCTTCGGTACGCTTGAGGCGCAGGCTAAGTTGTCAGTAGGACAGCCGCCCAACAAATGTCACCAAAACTGGAATCGATCCGAATTAACTCTTCATTCGTGGGACATAGCACATGGTTGAACAGACTTGTGCTTGTGCTAGCAATGCTCGGAGGGCTACGTTGCGAAAAACCAAAAAGTCCTTAAATTTCCAGTTTGGGAGACGTCTTCTATTTTGCAAAATATTCATGACTCCTCTAGGCCGCTCGCCGACCGTGGCAATGGATATCTAGCATTCGTATGGCACGTTATCACATATACCTCGTACAACAGTAGACGACAGAATCCGCGATGCTGCTTTTTGAAAATTGTCAAGGCTCCGCATTGAATGAAAAAAAATGAAATGATACCATTCAACAGCATCGTTTCATTTTTATTTGAGTAGCGGGGATCCTGTCAAATCCTGTTAGTCGCATATGGCGATAACTGCATCCATTTCAGCTTCTGAGCCGGTTTCTCGGCCGGAAGCCGAGAGCTGCGTATTCTGCCAGCTTCACGCTCACGCTCGGTTTGGCGGCAGCCCCGCTCCGCTGGCGATCCGGCGACTGCTTCCGTTCCGGTGGAGAGCTGAGAGCTCAGTCCGATTAGCCCCCCGGCGGAAGATCACAGACGTCCAGCGGGTCGGCTTTCAGAGCGGAAACCACCTCAGGAAGTTCTCCGATCGCCGTAGAGCTAAAGTTTTTCATCCTCAGCCGACTCTATTGTTATTCTTACGATAGGATTATATATGGAGCTTGTGAGCTGCTACGCCGAGTTGGACCGATATAATAAAACAGGCTCGTGGTCGCTGTCGGCTGGTTCAGGCTCCGTGGACTGTGGAGCGGAATATTTGAACCTGGCAGCCTCACTATTCATCTGGACACTGATCCGCACGAAGGAACAGAGGGACCCCACGCAGCAATCAGCATCACACACGTCGCAACCACGTCCCTCGTTCTCCTCGGATCGCACAACAACTCTACTGTGAAATGAGATCGCTCGGTATGCTGAAAATACCCTGTGTCGTGTTTTGCAATAAACGGTGCATCCTGTTCAAAGTAATTTGCAACGGCGCGCCGGGGAGAGCACCACCCGGGCCGACCGGCTGGCTGCCAATGTCACTGCACGGAGCGCGCTGCTGCGGGCCGCCGTCAGCCAACTTCGGGCGGACTGCAGATTAATCTCGACTGGTCCGACACCAGAGACAATGGGCGTGGCAGAGACAGTCGAGATCTAATATTCAGACATCGCGCCAGGGGCCTCAGACTGACTGCCCAATTCGCCGTGCGATCTGTCAAAATCGACCCGACCGCAAAGCGTCCCAGCCGATGCGCCAGCGCCGCCGCCAGCACTCGGCCAACTAATTCACAAGTCACTCGAGTGAAAAATCGGCCGTGTTTTGAGAAAACTTGTTGGTAAAAACCGATGATTTCAAAGTCAACATAATAACCAACGAAAGACGTCCTGTGAATAGCAGCGACGTTGCCAGTCAGCTTCCTATCTAACATGTAGCCGGCTTACGAAAAAGAAACCTGAGGAAAACATGTTTTGAGTCAAATTGAACTGCCTGGTGCCACGGCGCTGCATGTCTGAGTTGCGAAGGATTGAGATCAGTGATGCTATTCCTCACCGACATGATAAATAGGAAATGAGCCTGATTTCCTATAAGTCCGGCTCTGCCAGGAGCCGTTGGGTGTCGTTCCACTCCCAATTGAACCGCAGCTCGGCCATTCAGCAGTCCACATCGCGGAGTTCCGAAAGAGGTAATTACGGTGACTTCAAGCGACCATAAATCACAAACTTCATCAGAGAATATCAGTAAATTTGGGTAGTTCCATCGATGGTCGAACTTCTGACCAACCTCGGCAGATTTTCTGAAACGGCCACAGCTGGGTCGCGGTCAAATCATGCGACACATAGCTACTGGTGCCGGCGAAGTTTATTCGTTAGTCTCGACCATACTTGATGCCAGTCTCTGGAAAGCTCTGCATTCATTGTCATCCCCAGAATGATGACATATTCCTAGATAACAATAAGATACAATATATGGACTCCAGGACTATGTAGTGCCGTTCGTGTCACCGCTCTCATCCTTCATCGTTCAAGATGAAAAACTTTGTAAGCACGTTGTAAACGACTGGTACCCTCACCCCCTCTTTACAAGGCATCGCCACCGATGGCCATCATTATTAGACCCACTTTCAACAGCGCTGTCTTCAAACTGTCAACAGATTGTCTTCGATCACTTGGTGAACACAGGCGGTCAGGACAGTCTTCAGTCAGCTCTAGAACGGACCAAACGGCGTCCAGTCAGCCCCAGTCCGGAGCAACGACACACTGCCGAGAAGTCAGAACAGTGTCACCGTGTGGAACATTCGACTCGGAAGGCATTCTCTCGCGGCGCCGCGTCTTCACGGAAGCGCCTCCTACGCGCGCTCCGTAGAATGTCACTGGCAGACGCTGTAATCGCTGTTGATAGCCGTGCATTATTTTTCAACAATCAATCAGACTGTCATCTATCACCAGTAGTCACTATGTATATGTAGAAGTATGTATGAAGTATGAAGTATGAAGTATGCATGTGTATTGTGTAGTATATGGTAGAAGCCATAATTAGTTTTGCGTTGCCTTTTTAGTATCTTGCGGCTTCAATGTCGGCGAAGACCAGAGTGTTCACGCAAAGAACGTTCTGGAATGATCAATAATTCGAGGATTAACAGTTGCAGAATTGACAATAAATAAGCCAAAATCAGTGTTCCGTGAACCGGCACTCATCATCTTACTGTACCCGGAGGCTACTTACTTCGCCGCAGATACGTTCACGGAAGACAGGTCATGTATTGGCAAAGGCCAGCGGAAGACGAAGAAATCAGCTCATCTACGCATCACATACGACTCGGTAAGGCACCGCCAGCGCATCACTCACAGCTGCTGCGGCAGTCATTGTGCAGTATTTCCTACACAGGTGCGAAGCGGCACGTTCAAAAGGCGTCAGTAGCAAACGGTCATTACACTAGCTAAATGCATGCAGCGCCAAAAGGCGAGACCCCGACGGACACCCGCGGCTTTGACACGATGGGACGACTCTCCGTCACCCCGCACTAAGTAGCTGCCCCAGCTCCGGGCGCAGGCCGCCGACCACTGCTCGCCGCTAAGGAGAAGGCTTACCGGGCGGGTGGCGGCCGTTCGCCCCATTTACAGCTGCGCCCGGCTCCGGCGGCGAACGCACGGCCGCTCGGACCGCCCTACCCGAACGGTACACGGCGCATCGGGCCCGGCAGCTCGCCGCCTCGAGCACACCGTGAAGGGTATACGGCCGCGGGGTCGCCGGTGCCGGCCGAAGAGGCCACCCGGCGCCGCAGTAAAATCACAGCCGATCTCGGCACAGAGGACTCCGTCCGACATACACACAGTTGGCACCGGCGCGGTGGCGCGGCAGGCGCGCGCTCAGGCTCGCCGCCGTCACAGCTCCTCAAAGAAGGCCACGCGGGACCGGGCCGAGCCCTCCTTGGTCTGGGAACAGAGGGTCCGGGGTCAGACTCACGGAGTCAGATTAGCGGAGACAGACGCAGACATTGCTTACTGCCGCCCTGATCATACAGTCGTGACCTCGCATCCTACCAGGGCGATTTGAGTAAACGACGAGGAAAACTTATACAGTATTCAGCAGCCAGAGTTACATTGTTTAACAGTACAATGCTGACGGAACTGCACTTCTTGGAGAATCCCAATTCTACTCGATGGCTATGCTACTTTTCATTTAGTTAGGTTGGTTAGGTTATCTATCCTTGATATATTTATTTATTCTATTATTTATTTGATTGTCCGTAAGTGGAGAGGGCCTTATTCATTATTTGATCGTAAATGGGCAAACAAATGAACTCAGAACAACATGTGCTATCATAGAATAGCATCGCACACAACACACATGGATAAATAACATAGGTACAATTCAATCTTCAGATAGCACAGCACAAGCCAACAACACAAACGCGAAAATAATAATGCACACACTAGCAATACGCAATACGCATATCAGCTTACCTTTTTGAAGGTGGAGTACTTGTTCTCTCCCAGGTTGACCTGTTCGTCGTGGATATGGTCGTACAGGGTCTGGTTCTCTCCGATCTTCAGTACCTCAATCTCAGTTCTCATCTCCTTCAGCTGCTCCTGAAGGTGTTTCGACTTTTGGAGGTACTCAACACTGAAAATACAGATCGACAACGTTAGATAAAAAAGGACCGCTGACGAGAGAGCATTATGTCAGCATACACCTGCGAGATAACCTCTCTTGGGTACCTGTCATCGATAAGTATAAAAGAGCAGCCCCATGTAACCGTAAACGTCTAGAGAACACTTCACAGCTGCAGACACTGCTAGTAGTAAAGTGATCTTAGTCACTGATTACGGCCCTCCAGCAAAAGAGTGGTTGGTTAGCCTATGTGCTTTTGGTGTAATAACTTTAAATGACAGAGACACTCCTGTAAAATGACTCAATAGAAATGAGAAGAGGGTTCATGCACACATTTCGGCAGTGGTCTTCAACAGCCATTAGACGTATTCATCAATGCAGATCGATTATTGTGATGTTGGCAACCAACCACTTAATACCAAGAGGGCCGTACATCCAGTTGAAAGGCGCTGCGGCCCAGCAGTGGTCACCATCGCGACCGTCTGACTCAGGGTATATTGAGTAAAGGTCTGGCTGACAGGTTCGGAAGCGCTCGTTACACCGATTATTGACCCCTGCCCACTAAGTTCTGCGCTGGGGTTGACTGAACGGTGCTCTTGCTACACGCTCATATGTTTTTGCTCAGAGCCCCCACGGCCCGCACTGAGGCCGCACTGGGGCTGCACTGACCGCTCCTTCTCGATCTCCAGGTTCAGCTGGTC